CCCCCCCCCCCCCCCCACCCACCCCGCCCTCCCGCTCCTTCCCTGAATAGAACGCTAAACAAAAAATACAGCTCGAGTGATGTCCTCGAGGTCCAGGTCGAAATTCTGCAGAAATCTCTGCACCCTTGGGGCAGCCAGCTGCAGCGGCTGCGCGATGAGCTTGACAATATTGCCTGGCTTTGCGTCGAAGGATCAAGGATTCAGGATTTCATCAGGGGAGAGGGCTGGCAGGGTTTAGTTAAGGGTTTATGTTGACGGGAATATTACATGCTTTGCGCGATCCCAACCCACCGAAATTGATGATCAAAGGAGCGAAGGGGAGAGAAAGGGAGAGCGAGATGGCGAACGAGCAACAAACAAAATTGGATCAGAGAGAGAGTGAGTGAGAGAGAGAGAGAGAGAGAGACAGAAGCACGGCACATACATGCGGCAGCGAACGCGAACATGCGGCATGCATAGATGACATACATGGCGACTAAGGACATACGTCTCTCGTTGGGCGAAGGAGCTCTGCCCATCTGCCGTGCGATAGTTACCCACAGCCCACTCGCGGGGTCTGTGTCGCGGGAACTGCAGCATGGAGGCGTCCAGCTGGTGGAAGGTTGCATCGGGCATCCTGAGCTCTTGGAGACGTACTTAAAGAAAGCATGATCTGCCTGGCTTTGCAACAGAGCTGTCATGAACATGGGGGCCAACCGGAAACCGACCAAAGCGTGCCCAGTGAGGAACCAAGCATCCACCAATGAAAGAGTGTTCGGAAGGCTACCACGTTTGAAGAGTAATCCTCCCAGGTTGCTGCAGTTCCAACCGCTGCTGGTATGCCGTAGAAGGTGGCCCATTGCATGAAAACCTTTGCTACAACTCTCAACGGGTCCTAAGTACCTATATAGTATAGTACTAGAATCATCATTATGTTTGGGGAAAGTATCCGCTGCAACAGTACCCACAGTACCAAGGACCGTTTGGGACTGTGGGGGGGTTGGCCCTCCATTAGAGGCTCATACCCACTCTCACGGCGATGCATGCCGCGAAAGGCGGCAGTCGGACGGGAAGGTTCTGTGCATTTGATGACGTCTGTTGGCAGTTGTGGGGTGCACTGGTTGAGGGAACCTCTTCAGTTCGATCTAGTTACAGTAGTAGGGACCCCAAGAAGGGACCAAGATGAAGAACAGCCCCTTGCAGCTTGCAATCGTATGGTCAAGACCTGGTGACGTACACAATCCAGCCATTTCCAGCGGCCAAAATGGGGATGCACTCAGATGTGTTGTGGCGGCATGCAGGGGAAATCCAAAAGCGGCCGTCCGGGCAATTTGCGATGTACCCAGTCTCCTTCGTTCTCAAAAAAAGGCAAGGCGAAACAAGTCAGAACCTCTGGCCTTCAATGGTCCTACAGGAAACACGCCCGACCAAGGAGTTCAAACACAAATGCGGGGTTAGCCTTAAACCCTAAACCCAATCCCCCTAAACCTCCATTCAACCCTGAATAAAAGGTTTGAGGCCCTAAACCCTAAACCCTTTGGGGTTTAGGGTATGGTGCTCAAGAGCCCAGCTTCTGTCTCGACGACACCTTCCCAATCACCCGTCCACTGTCTATAGAGCCTTAGTTGCGAAGTGCATAAGACCTAAAAATCAACAAAGTCTAAACTTTCAGTTCTCCTAGGGGGATAATATATAATCATATCTTTCCCATAAAAAGTGTAAAGTTTACCCATTCAGCTACAAAGGAGCCTCATCTCAACATCATTGGCAAACTCGTTGCCCGTCTTGTTGCACGGAGAGAAGTGGCTGTGGTCCAAATCAGAAATACGGTCAAAGTAGGCCGCAGCGTCATGTGCAGATGCATTGTAGCCTCGCTTCCCCCAACACTCAGACAAATTGAAAATAGAAGGCAACGGTGTCAGACTATTGCCACTTTAAAAGACCCCCCTTCACAAATGCACCCTAAGTCCTAAGCCTGTACCAAGAATCTCCGATAGAACTCAAGGGCCAGCCCGGACGTAGCATATGCAGCGTCACGGATGGATCCTTTGACCGACAGCGAGTTCTCACCGGAATACCCGATTGATCCCAGGTCGATAGGGGCGACGTCTGGGTTCGCCAAAACAAACTGGTCAAAATTGAATGAGATCCTTGGCGGTTCTTGGAGGCTAACGGAACTGTCTCAAGACTATACTATATGAAGAGTCCCCTAGGGGTCCAAGTGGTCAAACAAAAAGGGTAAAGGTGCCAAAAACCGTTCAGAGTATGGATTTCGGCTCAGGATCTCTGTCATCCAGCAGTCCATGGCCACGTGGCTCTGCGCCTGCGGGCTTAGCAGGGTCAAAGTTTTCCCTCTTCACTGGGTCTTCACTGCCATCAACGGAGATCTCTACAAGAAGAACCCTACTTCCAAAAGGGAACTCGATCGGAGGGGCTTCTGGGCTTCTTGCCCTGAGTTGGCGTTTGAATAGAAATCTAGCGGGCTTACAAAGCCCAAAACCCGAACCTACTGTCGAAGAAAGCCGTACACCCCGATGCCCTAACCGTAGCCATTAGGTCTCTATGCCTCCTTCTTCAGCAACGCTGGAACAACCACAGGAAACGTAACATGCCAACAAAACGACTTCACAAAATGAAAAGAGCTACCCTGAACCCTATAAACCCTAATAAATCCTTAAACCCTAGCCAAAACTGGTCAGGGTTGGGCTTCTAGAGTTTCAATCTTCCATAGCCCAACACCAGGAGGCCCAGGAACCTCGGATCGGGGTGTAGGGTTTTGTAGGGTTTAGGGATTGAAAAAATAGGGTCTGGGGCTTGGGGTTTAGGGTTTTAGGGGGCATTGGGGTTTAGGGTTTAGGGTTTGGCGTTCGGGTTTGGGCTTTAGGGGTTTAGGGGGCATTGGGGATTTAGGGTTTAGGGGGCCAGTGGTTAGCTTTCTAAAAGGAACCTACGACTTCAAAAAAAGGGAACTATAAGGGCTCGAGGATCCCCGGCTTTCAGCAAAAGGAGCTAAAATACCCTGAACTACCACTGCCTAGCTTGGTTGTTTGTAGAGCTCCTGTAGATTCTGACAGTAGGGTTTCTCTGAAAAACCTGCAATTAAAGGTGGTTATGGTAGTTTAGGGTACAAGCTGTACTCGCACACACAACTATCATAAAATAACCCTAACCTAAACCCTAACCCACAACCCTAACGCGCTATCATCGCAGGAACCTCAGGATTGTTGTCTGGTTCCTTCACTAATGGTGCTCCGGCAGTGAAGAAGACTTCTCTGAAGCAAGTTATGTTTAGACTCTTCGAAGGCCTGGGCCTAAAGCCGAACAGTCGTGATCCCTAAACCCTCTGCGGGTGACCACAAACTCCAAAAACCCTGAACCCTAAATCTCTTAGTGTGACTACAAACTCTAGAACCCTAAACCCAAATCTCTTGGCATGGGCACAAACGCTAAACCCTGAACCCTAAACCCTGAACCGGGTGTAGGGTTTAGGCTTCAAGCCCCAAGGATTGGGAGCGGTTTAGGCTTCCTAAAGAACCTAGGGTTTAGGGTTTAGGGTTCTAAATGGGCAGTTTTTCTACTTAAGTTCCTTTTTGGATCCCCAGTATTGTACGACAGCCTTATAAAAAGGACCCCAAACTGGACCCTGTTTTAGAGAACTACCTAAATGGCCCTATGAGCCCATGTCAACCCTAAGCAGTCAGGGTTACCTGGTGGGCAAAACAACGTAAAAGCAATGCAACATCAAAAACACAAACAACTAAGACCACAAAATCCAAGCGGCAAAGCCCGATTCGTTTCGAGGGCTGTATAAATAAATGAGCATCTCCCCAAGTCTCACCTTCACTACACTGCTATCCTGCATCCGACTCACTGCTGCATTATTGGGCCCTTTGGACCGGCAGGGTTAGATCTCTACAGGCGGAGTTTAGGGTTTAGAGTTTAGAGGGTTTTGGGNNTCGGCTGAGGAGCAACCGGCAAGGGCTAAGACTCCATCGAAAGGTCCTGGAGTTCTTTCTGTGTGTATAGTGGCTTCGTACGGTAGTAACCTTGTGCATTCGGGTAAGGCTATAGCTTGAGGGGCCTCTGTGTGTGTGTATGAGATAGCAAAATCCTGTTAAACGATATCCCGCGCCCCGGTCCCTTGTGCGGTGTGAAAGTGCATGGTGTAAGGTTCGCAATTAGGATTTAGGGTTTATAGGATTTA